ATGGAATTCAGACTTTATCAAAGAGCTCAATTGTTACAGCTTTCTTGAATTTTCAGTTTCTAAATTCTCTGCCTTGAGCCTGAAGAAAGGGTGCCTTTATAGGCAAGGCATTAAGGCAGCCTAAAAGTATTCAATTTTTGCACCATACCCCTTTGGAAATTCTCATTTTTGCTTAGACCTCCCTAGTGTAAAATTCAGACTTTCACATAAGCCCCCACCCCAGCTTTTAGGAAGTTTCCTTAGGCAGTTACGTCAAGATTCCCTCAACCAAGATTCCTAAATTACCCTTTAGGACCCCTGTTATTACCCCTGGGTCAGGCAGAATATGGGTCAAGTTGACCTAATTCAGAATTTTAATGGGTTTGTTAAAAAAACCAATTCGATTCTTTTTTAGGCTCTTTGATTTCCCAATTCAAATAAAGACTGAAAACTCTTGAATAATCCGTTACCGAGTCCAAAGACTTGAAAAGTTCAGGCCCAAACAGAATTAAAAATCTAACACCTCTAAACTTAGCACCAGAATACAAATAATAACTAAACACATCCTAAAACTAACATGCAAATGGACGGTGTGAAGAAAATGAAAGAAAGATGGGAAGTAAACTCAGAAAACTAACAGAAAAGTAGAAGAAGATAAGAAGAGAACAAAGAAACAGAAACTAAATAGTAAAAAGGGTAAAGAAGAGAAATACCTAAAATAAACTCGGACTAGTAAAGAATGGCGACGAGTCTTCAAATCTCCCAAATTTCCGACCAAATCTGATATTAATCATGTGTTCTTATAAAGAACACACAAACAAAATCAAATTATACCAGAAATTTCAACAGAATCTCGATTTGGAATTTTTAGGGTTCATCTCTCGATTCAATATTTGAGAAGTTCTGAGGAGATTCGAAGAAGACAGAGTGGGGTTTTGGAATGAGGGGAGTGAGGGGATTCTAGGGTGTTACTTTAGGGCTGATTGGTGGTGGAGCCGCCGGCGGGAGGCGACGGAAAATCATGGCGGCGCTAGGGTTTCAAACTTAGATCTAAAATCCGAGCAATTCTGGACGGATTTGAGAGGAGTTGTTTGGATATTTAGGACGGGGAGATGGAGAAGAGTCAAGGGTGTTATTTTGGTGAGGATTGGTGGTGGCGCCGCCGGCCGGAGATGGTGGAATTTTGGGGCGACGCTTTTAGGGTTAGAGGAGGCTGGGGTGAGAGAGATGAGAGATGAGGGGGTAGGGGTGACATTCGGACATATATATATCAGAGGGGATTCAGTTCCGGACCGTCCAATCAATTAAGATCGACGGTCCTGATCAAGGGGTAACGGAAAACGACGTCGTTTGGTCATTGAGTGGTGCGGACCGGGTATGGGGTGGTCTGGGCCGGATTTAATGGGTTTGGACGGGTAAAATTGATTTGAGCTTGAGAGATTTTAATTTTTTGGCCCAAAAATCCGAATCTTCTCATCTCTTCTTCATTTTCTTTTTATTTATTTCAAAACTCTTTTTCTCCCTTTTTTCAAAATTTAAAATAAAACCTAAATTAATTCCTAATACAAATTATCCTACTAAATTAAATTAGTTAACTCTAAATAACAATTACCACAAATAATTAAATACCAGACTAAAAGGAAAACTACCAAAATTCGAAACTCAAAATTTAAAATGCAAAATTAGTTATTTTTCATGATTTTTTTTAATTTTGTAAAACACTAATTTATCAATTAATCTAAAAATAAATCCTAAATGCAATGCTTGATATTTTGGTATTTTTTCATGATTTAAATAAAACTTAAACGTGCAAAAAATTGCAAACAATTAAATAAAATTCTACAAAATTCCTAAAATGGTAAATAATTAACAAAATCTATTTTCTTGGGATTTTTATAGGAGTATTTCATATAGGGCAAAAATCACGTGCTCACAGAAATCCCTATACATTATATGTAGACTCCCAATCTTTTCAGCTACAAATGTGGGACTTTGTTCGCACATCCAACAATAATCTTAGAATTATTCTGAAATAATTTGTCCGCGAACCAAACGACCCCTAAATAGAGGCGGAGCCAGGATTTCAAACTTATGCGTTTGGATCTAATCGTCTGAAGTTACTGATTTCTAAATTAATAATATATATATATTCAATGAAATTTTTAAAATAAATATAAGGTTTGAACTAAAGTTACTGGGTTCGAGTAAACTCGCTCCCAACACTCTAGCACCGCCCCTGCCCCTAAATGCAATGGCCTATTTTTCATCAATTCGGAGAAAGCTCTATCTTCCACTACAATTTCCCCACCCACCCAACCTCCTAACCTAACCCTTAAAAACAAAAACAAAAACAAAAACAAAGAAAAAGACTAGATGGTGCTTGGTTGTCACACACTCACACTCAAAAACAAAGATATTAGTTCCAACCACAATAAACTTCTTTAATTTCCACCATAAAATTTAATCGAATCCCACTAATAATCTTAAAATATTGGAAAAGGATGTCGTTTCTCCAACCTGTTTGTCTTTATTTAGTCGTATTAACTCATTGTAGACTATCTACTGTTCTCCTCATAAACTCACTTCATTTGCAACTTCTCCAAACTAGGCCAAGCCATTGCATTATAACCTTTGCTTCCATATTTTACGGAGACTCAAAGGGCAAAACTTAGTAGTCATATTTCAAATTGTAGCACTAAATGTAATTATGGTGTTTAGTCATTTTTTATCTTTATAAACAAAATATAGCCGATGATATATATTTAAAATTAATATTGTGAAATTTAGAATTCTATGACAATAACTATTTTTCAATCATATGCAATGGAAAGTTACTATTTGATACCCAATTCCGTGCTTGCTGTTTAATTTGATGCTACCTGCTACCTATAGCAATTGTGCGAGAGAGAGAGAAAAGCATATCCCTCGGCCACCACCTTTTATATAATACCAAATTATAGTACAAATGTGAATATCAAACACTTTTTCCTTTAACTATGACTTTTTATAATGTTTTTTTATAATAATATTACTTTAATGATAAATATGCATGGAAATCTTATTTTTAAAAAGCTAAAGAATTGATGTTTATATTTGGATCTAAAATTAGATATTTTAACTTCATACCTAAAATCAGGTTATTCTTACTTTTTTTAAGCATAACTGTCTACCGTGGAAAAGGAATAAAAAGATAACAATGAAAGGATTTTAAATTGTTTAATAATTTTTATATTATCAAATATATAAATTAATTATAACGTATCAGTTATTTGGTTAATTTTCCATGTTACCAAGTTTTGCTTTAAGAAGATCACTGTTGCAGCATGGTCATGTGTAATTATCTAGCTGTGTAATTATTAGGGCAGTACTTACATATTCTGATAATTAATTAGTACTATAATAACTATAATAACATATTTGTCTGCCAGAATATAATTACAGTGTAATTCTCACTGTCGTATGTAGTTGGACAAGTGTAATTACATAATTAAATAAATAAATTTTTCAGATTAATCTATCAAAAATATTAAAAATTATCAATTGATAAATAAAAGCTTAGAAGTAGTAAGTATCTTCTAAATAAATTATATTATTATTTACATAAATTTCAATAAATATTTATATTTTTTAATAACTCATTAATGTGTGATAAATACATTATATATAAGAGATGCAAGATATGATTTATAATTAGGTATTTAAACTCTATTTTTAAAATGTAAAAATATTAAATAACTAAAATTGATAACTAATATCGAAAAAATTATCGATATCTTGACTATTTTCAAATAAATAATGTAAATTAAAATAATTAATAAAAGTTTCAGTTATGAATTTAAAAAGTGTACCAACTCATATGAGTAAAATATGAATATATGATTTGTTGCATTTTTTAAATAATAAAAATAAATAGGAGTTTAAAATGTATTTTTTATTAATAATTATTTCATTCTAATAAATAAAAAATAAAGCTAGTAAAATACGAAATTGTGTTTTAAAACTAGAAAAAGAATTATGAGAAGTTGCAAAATTATACGGAAGCACACCATAAGCAAAAATTTTGGAAGGTTAAATAATAAGAATAAGAGAAATAGACAAGAAAAATTATAAAAAGAATGATACTTATAATATTTTTTAATTTTTTTTTAAAAAAAGATTGAAAAAGTTATATTACCTTATAATTTAAACAGTTTAATTACCATCAATTCTTACCTTCCACTTGAGAATTGGAGAATGTAATTGCACCCTCTTAATTATCAAATTTCATGCTGACCAAGTAAATTACTTAGCGTAATAAATATACTAAACTGTGTAATTATAATCAATTACACCTCAATTTAATTCCTAGATGGCTTTTCAAACCGGCTCTATTAGTAATGTAGAAAAATAATATACAGAATGCACAAATTAAACTCCCATCCGTGGCTTAAGCAGCTAGCAATCATGGTTAATAGTTCACATCACGGTAAAAATACGTATTCTCTCTATCTTAGTTTATGTGATATTTTATTATTTTTCGAGATTCAAATTTATTAATTTTGATAGTGTATTTAAATATAATAATTTTAGTTTTTTTCAAAAACAATGTTTACATATTAAAAATTACGTATTACAAATCACAATATTTAATAATATAAAATATTTGAAATACATAGGAAAATATTGTAGACAAAAAATAATTATTTGACTTTCAAAATAGAAATTGTTTTCGTATAAATTGAGACGGAGGGAGTGCATAATAAGAATTCTTGTGGTGATCATCCGAGGCAACTTCCAATCTAGACAAAATGCTCTGGAGCCTTACACGTGTCTCCAAAGCATATATTGTGGTACATGAAATAGGAACTTGGATCTACCTTAGCATCTTCATTCCCGATTCCTAGCATCAAATTTAGATGCTTACTCTTTCTCTCTCTCATCCACTCCCATAAATTCCTCAAACTCCTCTCTCTAAACCTAGCAAAACTAGTCACCATTAGCGATCCACTTATATACTTTTTGGCTCTTTAATTCGTAAAATCATGAGTGCATTGGAATCTCCGCTAGAAGCTTTAGCGTTCAACTACTTGAGTTTCGGACTTTATACGGTTGTCAACAATATATGGACGTGGTTGGCGGTGATAGCGGCGGCTTTCAGCTTCTGGAGGATCAAAACATCCTCAGCACTGCTGAAACCGGCACTAGTACGTGGAGATTTTTCCGACGATGCATCTCCTTCGCTGCCGCAGACAGCGTTTGTACCACCGTCAGAACATGTTGAGACGGTGGCAGCTGATGAGCCTGCTTCAACTTCTAGGGGACCCTCAATAACAGCTCCTACTACTATATCACCGTCCGTTGTATTTCACATAGTACACAGCACAAAAGGGAGATTGACAACCTATTTTAAGCAGGATGATGTCCTTGGACCATGTGATGACTATGTGGACTGCCGCGATAGCACAGACAAAGGCGAATCCATTTCAAGTCAGTGGGTACAGAGTTCCATATTTTCGAACAATGGTACTGTAGAAATGGAGGATTTAATGTGTAATGATTGGTATCAGAGTTGGGAAAAAGTGATTAGAACAAAAAAAGGGGAAATTGGGTGGTATAGTTACCAAGATTTGCATGTTATTGACGGTAACGTAGTTAGATTGTGGGAAGGTTGTAGACGGCGGAGAGAAGCGGAAGCCACCGCTTTCCTGGGTGGAGTAGTTAAGACGTGGTAGGTGAGAAATGAGAATGGTGGTAGCAAGTTAATTAATGTTAATAGTAGGGACTACAATAATTTATTGGGTTTCATGATGATGGCCGATATTACGTACAAAAGAATTGTAAATACTCTGCACGCTAGTCTTTTATAATTTTGATAATGCAACACTGCATTCTCATTCTCTTCCTTTTTCCTCTTTGCTTCTGCTTTCTTTACCTTATTTAGATTTATTTATTTTTATTAAACCTTTAATTGTTGGTTTTAAGGACCTTTTAAAAACTAATCTTCTGCAAACACCAAATCGCGAACTATGTTCATGATATTTGGTTGGTAGATATAGCTTTATTAAATCCAATTGTTGTTCCCCTCTCATTTATTAAGAACAGGTGTTATATTCTTTTATTACCGCTTGAAACTTATTAAAGCATGGAGGGTGAGAATTAAAAGTACTTTGATGACGAACACGGCTACTGTTTCTTCTCACCTACACACCGCTACTTCTCATTTAATGGAAAAATATTGTTGCTTGTCTTGTCTAAAATTCATAGATTTAGAAAATGAAAAAAGAAGGAACATTATTTTTTTTGTTTTTGTTTTTTACCCAGTGTCCATATTTGTGTTGGAGCTCCTGTTATCCGATTTCACGCTGCGTAAGCTGTATTAGAGGAAAAATGCTTTCTGCTAGAAATGGTTGAGGAATGCAGTGAGGCAAAAGTCTTTATTTTGTCGTCGATTTTCTTCAAAAACATATGTTTGGCAGATTGCCCATGTGTATTTCAAACAAACGCAAACGTCAAAGTATTTTCCCTTAATTATAAATAATCTGTTATGTTCATGTAAAACTTTCGATCCAGGGGTATGTTGGTTTCTGGTATCTTCTTACGCTCTATTTGTAAATTATAATTTTGGAGAAAAGAAAGTTAGCGTATAAACGTAAATATAAACGAAACAGTAATTAATTCGAGCCCACTGAATTCACAGTGTTTCCTTAAGGAATTTAATTCCCTCCTAATACCCGAGGTTATGGATTATTTCCTCCCAGGATAGAACGAATTACACACTGGTGTAGCGGTACTTCAAACCCCAGTGTTTCAGCAAACACAAAGTTCGGTAGCAAATCACACTTACGGTTGCTTTATTTGTAGTTTTAAAACATTGTACAACAAAGGAGAAGAACTCAGAAGTCGAATGGAAATTCTGAGAGGAAAGAATACAATTTATAGCCGATGTTGAGTTATTACTGAAGAGGATATCAGTAGTTGTGAAAACTGAAGAGGAACGATTTCTTTCAGTGTCTTCAACAAGCTGCTTGCACCATCTATTTATAGTGCAGTTAGCTGCTAAATACGGACCTGCTGCCACTCATTTAGTAGAGCACTTGGCCATGGTGGACGGAGCACCAGGCTGCTAACTAATGGAGCAATCACTTGCTATTATGGAGCAAGCATTTGGCAATGGTGGGATACGCATTAGCTTGCTGGAACAAATCCACGGATTGGAATATATCTGTTACAAACACGGATAATATTACGTTATTATTTACTATTAATAAATAAATTTGGTCCAAAAAATTAATCAATCAATCGATCATTTGACCAAATCCGAAGCCGAAGCCGTAGCCGTAGCCGANTTACAAACACAGATAATATTACGTTAATATATACTATTAACAAATAAATTTGCTCCAAAAAATTAATCAATCAATCTATCATTTGACCAAATCCAAATCCAAATCCGAAGCCAAAGCCGTAGCCGTAGCCGAGCCGAGCGAGCGAGCGACGACGACGGTGCGAGGCTTGCCTTCTTCTTAACTCTTTAAGAGCTACAAGAAGAGAAATTGTATATATATCTACCAAAATCCTTTTCCTCTTCCAATATGGGATAATTTTTCAAGAGAGGGAAACTTAAAATTTTACTCAAAATTTTTATTTTCCCTCCATTTCCCATTCACCCTCTTTTTAGGACTTTTCCATCTTAAAATCCTCAACAATCCCCCACATGAATGGGGAATGGCTATATCACGAAAGTATGTATGAAAAACTTGTGTGATTTGCAAGTAAGGATTAATTGCATCTGGATAAGTAGGTTTCCCTTTGAACTTTCCGTAGTGAACTTATGTCGGATATACTCGGTCAATCGGTAGATTTGATATCTTTGAACCGTCGAACTTTAGTGTATACCTAAACAACCATAAGTCACACAATCAGCCAACCGTGTTTGGTTCTCATTGTTGTGTTTGTTTCATCCATGAACACCGCCTGGTTTCATAAGTGCGTAGAGAATTGTCCTTGCAAAATTCTCCTTGAAGCGGCTAACACTTCACACTTACATAGGTGATTTCTAATCGTGTCATCCTGTAGATACACTATTTGATATACCTTGTATCAAATTTAGAAATCATTAAAAAGCCTTAATGCTTTATCCTTGGTACTGAACATTGTCTCATCACGAGAATGGACCAAAATTTTTGTTGACAATGTTGAACCGTCATTAATGACTTTGTTTGATCTCTTTGAACCTAGATCTTGGGATCTCCAATCTTCTAGGTAGAGTTACCGCCATAATGACTTGTTCTCGGCCATAGTCCTATTTCCCTCGATGATTTCTCAACTACCTCTCTAGTTAGGCCTTTTGTAAGTGGATTCGACATATTATCACTTGACCTTACATAATCAATCGTGATAATTCCTCTAGAGAGTAGTTTCCTAACGGTTTTATGCCTTCGTCGTATATGACGAGATTTACCGTTATACATAACGCTCCCAGCCCTTCCAATTACGCTTGGCTATCACAATGTATGCATATTGGTGCCAACGGTTTGGGCCAAAATGGAATGTCTTCCAAGAAATTTCGGAGCCATTCAGCTTCTTCACCGGCTTTATCTAAGGCTATGAACTCAGCCTCCACTGTAGAGCGGGCAATACAAGTTTGTTTGGACGACTTCCAAGATACCGCTCCTCCACCAATAATGAATACATATCCACTTGTGGACTTTGAATTAGTTGAACCGGTGATCTAATTTGCATCACAATATCCTTCAATCACTGTAGGATATTTACTGTAGTGCAAATCAACGTTTTGGGTATGTCCTAAATATCCCAAAACTCGTTTCATTGCTATCCAATGAGATTGACCTGGATTGCTCGTGTATCGACTCATTTTACTTATAACACAAGCTATATCTGGTCATGTACAATTCATGATGTACATTAAGCATCCCAACACACGAGCATAATCCAATTGTGATATGCTTTGACCTTTGTTCCTTGCTAATGCAAGATTCACGTCAATTGGAGTCTTTACAACTTTAAAGCCTAAGTGCTTGAATTTTTCAAATACTGTTTTAATATAATGAGATTGTGACAATGCCAGACCTTGAGGAGTCTTTTGGATCTTAATCCCCAGAATTAAATCCACAACTCCCAAGTCCTTCATATCAAACTTGCTAGTTAGCTTATGCTTAGTCGCATTTATGTTGGCAATGTCATTACTCATTATCAGCATATCATCCACATATAGGCAAACAATGACTATGTGATTTGGAACATTTTTAATGTACACACATTTATCACATTCATTTATCTTAAAACCATTTGACAACATTGTTTGGTCAAATTTCGCATGTCATTGTTTGGGTGCTTGTTTTAGTCCGTAAAGGGACTTAACAAGTCTACATACCTTATTTTCTTTACCTGGAACCACAAACCCTTCAGGTTGTTCCGTGTAGATTTCTTCCTCCAAATCTCCATTTAAGAAGGTTGTCTTTACGTCCATTTTGATGAATTTCAAGACCATAAACTGCAGCTAAAGTTACCAGCATTCGTATGTACGTAATCCTTGTCACTGGAGAATATGTATCAAAGTAGTCAAGACCTTCTCGTTGTCTATACCCTTTGACAACAAGTCTTGACTTAAATTTATCAATAGTGCCATCATCTTTCATTTTTCTTTTAAAAATCCATTTACAATCCAAAGGTTTATTTCCAGGAGGAAGATCAACCAATTCCCATGTATGGTTGTTCAATATGGATGCTATTTCACTATTGACTGCCTCTTTCCAGAACAATGATTCTAAAGTAGACATAGCTTCTTTAAATATTCGAGGCTCATTTTCCAATAAGAAAGTCACAAAATCTGGTCCAAACGAAGTAGACGTTTTTTGACGTTTACTACGTCTTGGATCTTCCTGATTAAATGTACTTTCTTTTGTTTCTTCCTGAGGACATTTAGATCCTTTACCAATCGACTCGCATTCCTTTTTATACGGATATATATTTTCAAAGAACTCAGCATTACCTGATTTTATAATCGTATTATTATGAATGTCTGAATTTTCTGATTTATGAACCAGAAATTGATATGCTTTACTATTGGTCGCATATCCTATGAAAACACAATTAACTATTTTCGGTCCTATTTTTACCCTTTTGGGTTTAGGAACTTGCACTTTTGCCAAACACCCCCACACTTTAAAATAATTCAAGTTGGGCTTCCTTCCTTTCCATTTTTCATATGGAATGGATTGTGTTTTGCTATGGGGTACTCGATTTAGTATCCAGTTAGCTGTAAGAACAAATTTCCCCCACAAGTTCAGTGGCAAACCAGAACTTATCAACAATACGTTCATCATCTCCTTTAATGAACGATTCTTTCTTTCCG